AAATTAACAGTTGGATGTGCCAAAATTTTCTTCAGTTAAACAAGGAGAAAACTGAAGTCATTGCATTTTGAAACAAAGATGAAGTTCTCAAGGTGAATGCATACCTTGACTCTAGGGGTCAAACACCTAAAAATCAAGTCAAGAATCTTGGTGTGATTCTGGAGACAGACCTCAGTTTCAGTAGTCATATCAAAGCAGTCACTAAATCAGCATACTATCATCTAAAAAACATTGCAAGAATTAGATGTTTCGTTTTGTATTTTATGTATAATCATTTTCTATTTTTAACTGTTTTAAATGTATTTTAAATCAATTTTTAAATCATTTTGAATTCCTTGTTTTATTGTTGTGATTATTTTTTATGATTATTTTACTTCCTTTTATGTAAAGCACTTTGAATTACCATTGTGTATGAAATGTGCTATATAAATAAACTTGCCTTGCCTTGCCTTGCCTTATGCAGCACGCAATGTGCGATTGTATAAAACTTTGAGAGTTCTTTGCCACAAAGATACGTTTTACTGTTTATTTTTCCCGAGCACCCCTAAACTCGTTTTCTCTTTCTCTGCATTCCTGCTTGACATCCTCTTTTCTCACCTTCATTCTCACCTTCATTCTCACCTCCCACACTCCCTTGATTCAGTTCTCTCTCTCTTCCCTCCCACTCTCTATCCGTCATTCCCTCCTCCCTCAACCCACACCATCCCTTTAACTCCCTTCCTCTACATACCTCATCCCTCTAACATCCCTGCCTAGCTTCCCTCTCTCTCTCACCCTCGCTCTCGTGTCCGGGTGGCTGATAGAAGGACAGGCAGAGGGAGATGATGGCTGCAATCTCCAGGATGATGAGGGTGACGTCTTGTAATGCCTCCCACACCAGCTGAAGGAAGGTCTTGGGTTTTTTAGGGGGTATGAAGTTTTGTCCAAATGCCTGTCTGCGCTTCTCCAGATCTGTCGGGTTATCAGACAAACCTGTAAGGAAAAGAAGAAGAGTCAAACAGAGGTCATCACAATTTTGTAATACGTGAGCACCCTCACCCCCAGGGCAATGAGTAGGATATACCATTAAGGAACCTAGTGTGCGTTTCTCATTTCAGAGCCCGGGACTTTCCTGTTAAGTTTGAATCATCCTGTACATGTGGCTTCACCCAATGCAGGACACATTATTTTTTTAAACAGTCATTAAGAATGAGATGCTTGTGTTTGCTATCTGCAGACTGGCTCTTGACGCAATTTGGATTTTAATGGTCTTTAGCTTCAATGTGTTTTGGCAAGAAGCATTTTTGGCCAAACTAGAGTCTTGACAAGGGTACTATAAAGTTTTATTGATAAATCCTTGATATCTCCCAAATAACAGTCAGGGTGTGATTTGTTAAAAAAGCAAGAGGATATTTGAATCAGAATGTCAACATTGAAATTTTAATGAAGACATTTATAGAATGAGTCTGTGCATGTCATACACTACACAATTTTATGAGAACTGTAACAATAAGTGATAAATAATAACTAAACATCACTAATTATTGCTTTATACGTTATACATTTCTTGAAACTTCTAGAATCACAAAATAAATTGTGTCATTCATTTAATATATCAACGCTCTCATTTTCTGTTAATAAAAAGTTTGAAAATAATCAGCTTTGCCATAATTACAGCATTAATACTGGAAATGTTTTAGCCTATAGTTAGAGAGGGGCCTTCGAATATTGTTGGAGAGGGATATTGTGTTCAGAAAGACTGAAAATAAGCTTGCTACAAATTAAAGCTCACTAATGTTTGAATAAGTAGCTCTCTGAATTCCTATTTAGTGGAATGCATTTATGGATATCCATGTTGTTCCCTTTCCTCAATATGGATTTGACACCTAGGTTTCCATCGTGAAATCTAAGGGTGCTTTGCATTTCAATTTAGGCATTTGGTAAACACTTTTATCCGAAGTGACTTACATTGCATTCACGGTACACATTTTATCAGTTCTTGCTTTCCCAGGGAATTAAACCCATGACCTTGGTGCTGCTAGCATCATGCTCTACAGTTTGAGCTACAGGACAGGTTTCAAAATTTGAAGGTTTCAGAAAAATTGCAACAGAAAAGTCAACATGTTAACTATCATCTTACAGGCCAGTGGTCGCTGAACACACAAACATATGTAGTGGGGAAAGATGCAGCTTAATGATAAGGTGAACATTGCACAACAGTTCAAGGTTACAGTTATGCAAATAATAAACTGAACTAGTGAAGTCAGAATTGAATATTGGCGCCTTTTTGAAAAAAAAAAAATCTGTATGACAGAGAATCATGGTAGTTGTTTCTTCTTCTTCTTCTTCTTCGTTTGTAGTCTTTCATCAGTGCACTTTGGACCAATCCAATCCTTACAGCTTGAAAAAACGATATGAATAAAGAGTTCCTACAGTGAACAACTCCAATACCATTTCACACAAAAGCACACACACAAACACACTAGCTTTAAATACACCATGGAGCTAACTGACACCTTTAAATAGCATATGCACTGCTTACCTTTCCTATTATCACATTCACCACACATTTAAACAACACATTTAGCCATCTTACAATCTCAAAGATTCAAATAAGGGTCACAAAGACAAGACGAATAACACAATATATTGCATGTGTACAATACAATAAAACATAACCAACTGACCATAATGACGCAAGTGTAATGTATTAGAACGTATCGATTTGTTAAAGCAGATTGTTCCAAAGTAAGAAACGATGCAGACTGAGCCACATATATTGAATTTCTGATGTAAATAATTAATCACATGTTTCTGCTCATTTCAAAGGGCTCCTATATAGAATGAGGGGCCGAGAGAAGACAGGAAGGATGAAGAGAAATGGATATGAAGACATGAGTTGCATTGCGTTTAATGTGCCAGTGCCCCCTTCCCCTTTCCCCAGCCATCTATGTCTTTCAGTCTTTCTCTTACTCTCTCTTTCACTCTTTCATAGATTTGTGCAGTTTCCATGGAGATGAAGACATCAAACACAAATCGTGTTGCTCTTCAACTTCCTGTCTTCGGGCACCTTTTCGCCCAGCTACAGATGATGTCATTGATTCGGTGAGGTCCACGTGAGCCTTATAATAGATTTTTGATTGGTCTGTTGTGGAAGCTGTTTTTGCAGACAGTGAGTCTTTTCGAGCCTGAGAGAAAATTCATGATGCTTTCAGTCAGTGTTGAAGTCAGTAGAGTCACCCGGAGTGAAACCCAGCATTACAGCTCAGCTGAATGAGGCACTATTGACGTCAGCCTATGAGTGTGCGGTGAACATGCTTCAGGGACGGATAAGGACAGGACAATCCAACCAGAAAATACTTTAAGTGGACAAAGGAGGAATGTATGGGCTGGTATGTATACCGCCACTGAGTAAGAGCAGTAGGCCGACTGTAGGCAAGAGCTCCTGAGGGTTATGCACTGATCACAGTCTCTCCATACCAGCACTCAGCACTAAACCTTGCTATTTCCATTACTGAATGCATGATTATACAACACTCTAGATGAGAAGTGGACAAATGAATGAAAGACAGAGAGAGAGAGTCAGGAAGGACAGAAGATGAATGAAGATGACAAACTCATGCTATCTGAAGAGGGACAGTGCACCTAAAAATAACACTTTGCAACAAGGTTCCATTTATTAACATTAACCACATTAGTTAACATTGAACAATTCTTCTACAGAATTTATTATTCTGAGTTAATGTTAATTTCAACATTCACTGATTCATTTTCAGACGTTGTATGTTAACATTAGTTAATGCACTTTGATGCGACTGTATTTTTATTAGCTAACTTTAACAAAGATTCATAAATGCTTTAAGAAATATATTGCTCATTGTTAGTACGTTATCTAATGACCTCCTTGAGAAATGTAGACATTTTTAACTTTCATGAAAGTAAAATTAATGGGGACCTTTCAAGCTTCAACAAAGACAAAAAAGAACCATAAAAGTATCATAAAGTGATCTAACGTGCACTGTTTTCCAAGTCTTTTGAAGTCATATGATTTTCAATTATTCATTGAAAATACTCCTAGCTCTTCTTGGCACATTTGTGAGAAAAGCTGCTATGTCTGTCTGATTTGTGAAAGGATCTTTTTTTTTATCAGATCTTTTCAGTGAATTGGTTGATTGGTTCACAAAACCCATCCAAACGATTTGCTAATGAATTGGTTAATCTGGTTCACAAAATCAGTCTAAGAGATCCAAATGATCCGGTTCACAAAATCGATTGGACTGATTTGTTCATGAATCAGACTGACCTAGTTCACTCACTAACTGGGTGCAGCAGTAAACAGGTCCTTAGAGAGAAAAAAAATGAAATTTAAGTGATTATTCACTGAAAATCTCTCTTAGATCTCCTTGGCAAATTTGAGAGAAACAGCTATGTCTGATTTGTGAAGGAACTGTTTTCCTGAGTCAGATCTTTTTAGTAAATTGAATGATCCAAATGATTCCGACTGATCCAGTTCACAAAATAAATCTGAATGATTTGTTTATAGTCGCTAGATGGGATTAACAATGAATAAAAATTTTGGTCTGTTCCTCTCAAAGCTATTGTATGATTTCAGAACACTTGGAATATTGTACAGCAGACATCATATGAACCACTTTTATGTTACTTTTGTTCTGTATTTTTAAGTTTTAAAGTTCCAATCTCTAGATATTATATCTGTATGGAAAAGAGCAACCAGCACGTCTTCAAAACTTCTCCTTTTGTGTTCAACAGAAGAAAGTTGTTTGTTATACAGGTTTGTAAATGTATGTAAGTTATACAGGTTTGGAACAACAGGAGGCGGAGTAAATGAAGACCAGATTTCCATTTACTGTATGGATGAACTGTCCCTTTAAGAAAAACTGCTGAGTAGCCATCCATTCGCTTTAAAGAATCTCTTGCTTTTCAAACATCCCACCTCCTTCTCCCCCACCCCGCTCACTCTCTCTCTCTCTTGCCATCTCCCCTTGGTGTGTCCTTGACAATGCGGCAAGCTGTTCCAGAATTCCTTCTCTCTCCTTCCGTTCCTTCCTAACCTCTCTCTCTCTTTCTCTTTTTCATTCTCTTTCCACCCTCCACCCCAAATGCTCTCGGATCTTCATGTCCTGCTGCAGCAGAACAGGTATCTGTGTATGTTCAGGCTGATAGATTGATATGTCCACGCCCTGCACTGAAAATAGTGTTTATAGCAGCAGGCTGAGATCTGTGGATCTATGGTCTGCACTCCGAAGCTCGGCTGAAACGCATTGCTGGAGAGGAGGGAGAGACACTAATGGACTTCCATTTTCAGGGCCTCATCTTCACAGTGTCAGCCTTATTCAGCATCACTTCATCTCCGCCCCCTCTGGTTTCCTCTCCTCTTCTATTGTCTCTGCTTTGTCATGGCCATGTAACAGGATTAGTTCTGCTTCAACATGCACTTAGAGGCAAACTCCACTTATTGTATGACTATTAGCATCAGGTTTTGTTATCACCTGTCAACAGAGTAGTCCCTGATAACAGCTGTTAGCTATCTCCATACATATAGTCTGAAAGCCTTCACGTCTTCTCAACCATGACATCAGTGGAGGTGTGGAGGTTTCGAAACCTTTTAGTTCATTTCAGGTTTAGGTCCGTGTACTTTTGCGTCCATTCATTTTTCACTTTTTAAGCCAGAAATGAAATACAGAAAATGCGTTTTTTCATGATGCTAAGAGGAACAGTGACCGCTTACACACCGCAAAGTTTCAGAAGTGACATCCACATATAAATGCGGCATTTATATGCGGATGTCACTATCATTGCAATGATAGTGATAACCTTAACAATGGACAGGGCAAAAATGTGTCAAAATAGATGTATATTAAGTCTAGAGCACCCTCACTAATTTCAGAAGTCTCAGTGATTTAATTCTGGAACTGGGCCTGCCTGTATCTGGAGAAGTAGGAGAAATTATAATTTTATATATTTCTATTTTAAAATAATATTTTAAATTAGGCCTAATGTATTAGGTCTCTGCATTGTTTCAGAGACGACTCTAGTTCTCAACTGAACGTGCGTGAAAAGCATTACTTCTAATTTGGCCAAAGAAAACTTGTAAATTCGACATTTTTCTATATTAATTTGTGTATTTTGAAAATGTTTATTAAAGGTTCAAAAAGTCTGTTCTAATTCCAATTTTGCTTTTCAACATGGCACTTAAAAATATAACAACCATTCTTTTTTCATTTTTTTCATCCTGGTTAAAAAACAAAACAACAAAAAAAATAATTAATGGACGCAAAAGTACACGGACCGGTTTATCTCCTGAAAGTGGTTTTACATAGCAGGCAACATCTGATATTCTAACAACCACAAATTACTTCTTTTTTTATCATTTATTCACCCTCATGTCATTCCAAACCCATGAGACATTCGCGCATCTTCAAATAACAAATTAAGATATTTTTAATTAAACCTGAGAGATTTCTGTCCCTCCACTGAGCCAATCAGAGCACACCTCGCTTTTCAGACCGATGAGCTTTGTAAAAATCGACGCGTTTCAGAAAGGCGGGGCATAGAGGAGAAACAATAATGTATAGTATGTGGAAAATAATGTGTTTTTTGAACCTTAAACTGCATAAACACATTTAATTACACCAAATACACAAAATAATGTTCTTTTTAGCAACATCAAATGAACCCTTTAAAAGAAATAGATATGAATCAAATGCTTTAATCGAAGTCTTGCGAAAAGACATGATTGTGTTATATGATTAAAATATTTAATTTAGACTCTTATTTACATATTTGATGTGCTTTATGTTCATGCTCTATGTAAATCTGTTCATCATATAAAGCAATCGCATTTCTCGATTCATATGGATTATGTTTACAATGCTTTTATGAACTTTTTGAACTGAATTTTTGGTGTAACCAACCTTCAATGGAGAGACAGAAAGGTGTCATTTAAAATATTTTCATTTGTCTTTCGAAGATGAACAAAAGACTTATGGGTTTGGAATGACATGAGGGTGAGTAACATGACAGAATATAAATTTTTGAGTGAACTATCCCTTTTGTGAATCAAATAATAGATCCTTGCACTTTTTTCATTCTGAACTTTCTGAATAAAAAAATTAATAAAATAAAAAATAAAAACTTTCCAGTTTGAGGAGATGTATTAAGTAATAGGCCTATTAAATATTTGATTCCACTTTTTAATTTCTGCTCTCTCTTCATTAGGATGAAGATCAAGACTCTCTTCAAGACTCACACAGAAAGATGGGTTCCTGCTTAATGGAACTGATGGGGGGAATTTGATTATTACCAGAAAAAAAAAAAAAAAAAGAGCAAATCAAAATTGGGCATGTTGTAATATGTTTTACACTTCTAATCTGCTACCAAACGATGGTCTACCAATCGGTTCTGGAAATATTTTAAGGGATGTTTTACTTTTATGTTTCTTTTTCCAATTATGCCAAGCTATAAAATATTTTGTTGGGTAGAACAAAAAAAAATATTAGAAAGAAACAGGGAAACCTTTTTGGGGTCTTTGATTATTGTTGTGGACATTGTGAAGAGGGCCTTGGCATAAAAAAGAATGAGAATCACTGCTGGAAGTGCATGTAGCACTTAGATTTTAGGGGAAATATGTAAGCAGTCGGCATGCATAGAGTCCATTCATAACACAGCACAACTATGCATTGCATTCTCAGTGTGGCCACAAGGGATGCTATAATGAGCATTATCCTAACTGTCTTCTTTTATTGTCCACTTTCTCCTTCAGGTCAAAGCAGCAATTTGAAGAGAATCAAACTAAGCATGTCAATATGTTTATAGCTACAGGTGCTGAAACCTGAAAAATAACATCCAGTTTAAGGAGACATATTTAAAGGTAACTCTATCGCCTCCTTGAGGTTTCCTAGTGCGATATTAATTTTTAGGTATGCATGTGTGATCAACGGGTTTCAGTGCGTTGGCTAAACATTTAGGTCAATGTTTGTATACATTCAAAGAATATGTTTGTGGCCTTAAAGTGGTGGGAGGGGTGAGGCACTCATTACACAACAGCAGGTTGCAGTACTACAACCACTGAGCAAAAACTGCACTGTAGGCATTCACGCTTCACTGACATCCTGCAGGGAAAAAAAAGTCACACATGAAACCTCTGTAATATCTCAGATGTTTCTCCTAGACACCAGTGAGATTAAATAAAGAGCAAATGAAAACATTTGCTTAGTAATCTCACATCTATCTAAGAAGTGCTTCAGAAGAGATCTAAACAACATCAAAACAAATAAACTAAAATAATAAATGTCTAAATAATAGCCAAAATAATAAAAGTCAGAGATTTCAGACTGAACTCAAAGATTTCTCATCAGTTTTTCCAAGACCAAATTATCTTAACTATCCACTGTACATTAATTTTCCCAGTTCTACTTCTACTATATGTCAACATTTAGCATTTCTCCTAAGGAATCTAAGGAGAAACAGCTGAGACAAAAATAATACTACAATGAGCTATGAAAAATCACCCTCTGAGCAATTAAATTTCCTGATGTTAATTCTTATTCTTTAAAAATAAAAGAAACCATAATGCCTAAAACAATTTTTCATACAATATTACATACAACATGTTCATGCGGATACTAATAGGAATACACAATATGTCTGTCCCATACTGACTTTTTTGAGGTATTGGATAATTAATTGTTCATGCTCATTTACCCTATTTTTTACGTTTAGAGAAATTTAGCCATCATCGAACACTCACTTAAAAGAAATTTTATAATCTTAACACTAATAATTTAATAACACTGTTAAATGTAATCTTTAGCAAATCTCATTTTTCATATTGTACATTATAATGTTGTGATGCCAAAATATATCTTGTACTACTGAATAATTTTAAATATTAGTTTATTATTTTTAATTTAGACAAAAAAAGGCTAAATAAAAAGATTTTAAAAAACGTCTGTAACATGAAAATAATTATGAGCTTATCATATCGGCAAAACAAAAGATTCATAAGAACTATAAGCTTTGTCATAAATCTATAAATACTCACAATCAGTACAATCCAATTTGAGTTTTGAGTTTATCTGTTTCTCATGACTGAGCATTATCTCCACCGTTATCTAAATTCTCATCTACAGTCATCATGGTGTATAAAACATCACAGCAACTCATTCAATTACGAGTCAGAATAGGATGGATGGATATGCCAAGAATTGTGATCACTGTGGGGACCTTTCGAGTCACTGACTCTAGTGAGTGAGTCTCTCCAACTCTGTTTACCCACTAACCCCTCTCTCTACACCCACCTCACTGCCGACAGCACCGTTGCCTAGCAACCCAACACGACGCGTGCACTCAGAGTGGGAAGTTTGCCGAGTGAGACAGAGAAAGAGGTGGTGGACAAGTAGTGTGAAGAGGTGAGAGAGAAATAAAGAGAAAGGAGGAAAGAAAGGGAAATATTTGGGGTTTAAAGGCGTCTTTAACCAGCTCAAAGTGAAATATGCTACATCTGATGACGCCACATCAGTGATGAGGAACAATGTGCTACACTCTTAAAAAATAAAGTGTATTTATTAGCATCTATGGTTCCATGAAGATCCTTTAACATTCACTTAACCTTTCCATTGCACAAAAGGTCCTTTATAGTGGAAAAGGTTTTTATTTTTTTTTATGTACTTTACACTAAGAAAAATGGTTCTTTGAAGAACTATTCACTGAAAGGTTCTTTGGGGAGCCAAAATTGGTTCTTCTTTGGCCTTGCTGTGAAACCCCCTTTTGGAACCTTATTTTTAAGAGTGTAGGGTCTAAATGAGATGTATGAGATGACATGTCAAGAAATCAAGACAGCAAAGCAAAACATTTCTCTCACCATCACTGGTGGAAGACTTGAGTCTCTGGCATAGGCTTTCTACATCTCCAAAGCTGTCCTGAATTTTCTGCAAGGCCTCGGCTCCTCTCAGCTCCATCAGGGACCGGAGCTCCTCCAACGTCACCCCAAAGTCTCCAGCATGGTTGGCTTCTGCACCTCCTCCACCCCGCTTGGGGTAAAACTCCACTGCGCTATTCGCCATCTCACCCATGGTCGCTGTGGTGGACATCTTGAATCTTAGGGTGTTGGGTCCACGAAGTTTGATCTAAATGACTTCTTCTCGTCCAGGAGGTTTCAGCAACACAAGGTCAGTATTAGTGATGATTCTTGGCTTGAGTTTTTTGGTTTTGAGTTTGCTCCTCCACTCCTCTCCCTCCCCGGAGTTCTTCTAACTCTCCATCAGAGGAAATCGGGACAACAACGGCAGGACACTTCTAGTGTATTTGGAGAAATCCTGTCCTCTCCACTCAACCCCCTCACCCCGAGGGTCAACAGAACGAGGGATCGGGCCGCTTCCAATCCATCAGGACACAGAGAACGAGAGCAAAGAGGGGGCGCAAAACCAAGCGGGATATTGTGTAGATCTGCAGCGCTGATGCGTTAGGATTCAAAGGATGCGGGATGATGGGATTGGTGAGAAAGCCTGCAGAGACACACAGACAGAATAACACATTACAGTCTTCAAAGTGCTTGTGTGGGCAGCAACTCGGAGAACAGTGGGCATTCCTTAAGAGACAGAGCGAGCTTTCAGTCAGACGGCTCTGAGCTAATGCTTTCAAACGTATCAGCACATTTTCACCTCAATTCAAAGGTCTTTTGTGTTTTAATTGAGTCACACACTTCCCTTACTCTCATTAATGAGGCATTAGACAGGTCTTCGCAATATTAATTATGCTAAACGGACAGGTCAGTCATTTTTGAGTGTAACACGACTAAATTCCCTGGACATACAGTGTGGTATACAGTATGAGGAATGTGTGCTCTCACAGATGGTGATGCATATAACATATACTGTATCTCTAGCAATCCAGACCATTGCATTGGCCCATAGTTGCCATGGAAACCTACAGATGCCTCTGACTCCCACAAAGCTTCTTCGGCCTCGCTATACCCTGACACACACACACATATACACTTGGTTCTTATTCACACTTGCTCACAAACACCTCTACACTAGCAGAGTTTCCTCTCTATCTCTATCATTTTGGCCCTAATGCCATATTCTTACTTCATCTTTCTCTATTTCTCTTTTCCATCTATACAGTATGAGTGCCATGTAATGTGACCAACCACAGTTCAATTTGTATGTGTTTAGAGCCAAGGGTCATCTGAAAATGATTATATCAAATAAAAAAAAGATAGGATAATAGTGGTGAGATTGTCTCTTCCATTAATGGTTGTACAGATAACGGAAGCATTTCTTTCCATCCAAAATTAATAATCATTAAATTGATAGAAGTCTCTTATATGGTGATGAGTCTGGGGTATGCAGCGTGCTGTGTGAGTATGTGTGTAGGTAGATAGGGCCGGTAATGTGCAGGAGTGACATAGAGGGTGTCATCATTCTCATGCTGACTCACTAACCCCAGCCTTTCTTTCCCCCTCCTTTCTTCTTCTCTGGTGCACTGCATATATGCACAACAGCAAGGTTCTGCACAGTCAAGAGATAATCAGGTGTCACGTACATACCCAGACAGAATCTATGGACATTTTTCACCTGTTCTGCATTAGTTTTGGCGGAAGATCGGAGGAATTTATTTAAACATAGTAAAATGTGTTAACAGAGCTTAGTGTACTATGCTCTTATTTGTAGCTGAAAGCAAATTATCCAAAAATGTAACATATACAGTATGAACACAACAAACTGAGAATGTGTTAGTCTCATGTACCCAAATAGGACAGCAAAAAGTCTGGTCTTCACTGCAGCTTAATCTGGCCAAGAACCACCTAATTAGATGGGAAAATACAGTATGAGTGCCATGTAATGTGACCAACCACAGTTCAATTTTTATGTGTTTAGAGCCAAGGGTCATCTGAAAATGATTATATCAAATTAAAATAAGATAGGCTAATAGTGGTGAGATTGTCTCTTCCATTAATGGTTGTACAGATAACGGAAGCATTTCTTTCCATCCAAAATTAATAATCATTAAATTGATAGAAGTCTCTTATGCTCATCAAGGCTGCATTTATTTGATCAAAAATACAATAATATTTATGAATATTATTACACTTTCTATTTCAATATATTTTAAAAAGTGATGGCAAAGCTTAATTTTTGGCAGTCATTACTCCAGTATTCAGTGTCACATGGTCCTTCAGAAATCATCACAATATGCTAATTTGATTTTCAAAAAACACTTTTTATTATTATCAGTGTAGAAACAGTTGTGCTGCTTAATATTTTAGCAGAAATAGAAATGTGATACATTTGAAAGTTCAAAAGTACAGCATTTATTTGAAATAAGAATGTTTTGTAACTTTATACATTTTTTTACTGACATTTTTTGACAAATTTAATGCGTCCTTTCTCAGTAAAAGTATTTATTTTTTATTTTTTAGTGTACCGTTTTTAGAAAAACGGTAAATATAAGGCCACTAACTAACCTTGCAAATCTAGTGAATTAGTACTCCCTCAAAAACAATCATTGCATCAATGCGGTATAGCCTCTGAACATGAAAGCCAGCAAATCAGATTGCAGCAGATTCTACCTGGGCCTGGTCACATGTCAGATTTATGAATATTATTACACTTTCTATTTCAATATATTTTAAAAAGTGATGGCAAAGCTTAATTTTTGGCAGTCATTACTCCAGTATTCAGTGTCACATGGTCCTTCAGAAATCATCACAATATGCTAATTTGATTTTCAAAAAACACTTTTTATTATTATCAGTGTAGAAACAGTTGTGCTGCTTAATATTTTAGCAGAAATAGAAATGTGATACATTTGAAAGTTCAAAAGTACAGCATTTATTTGAAATAAGAATGTTTTGTAACTTCATACATTTCTTTACTGACATTTTTTGACAAATTTAATGCATCCTTTCTCAATAAAAGTATTTATTTTTTATTTTTTAGTGTACCGTTTTTAGAAAAACGGTAAATATAAGGCCACTAATGCCACTAACCTTGCAAATCTAGTGAATTAGTTCTCCCTCAAAAACAATCATTGCATCAATGCGGTATAGCCTCTGAACATGAAAGCCAGCAAATCAGATTGCAGCAGATTCTACCTGGGCCTGGTCACATGTCAGATATGAAATCAGACCTTCCATTATTATTATATTTTTATGCACTTGAGCATATTTGCATCTTTTGGGGCCACTTGCTGGCATCAGTCACATTCACTTTAGCATCTATGCAGCCCCAGATTTCCCTCACCAAGAGACTGCTTAACCGTACAGTTATGTTCAGTGTGCAGGAGGCAGATGGTCTGGAGATTATGCTGCTGCTGCTGACAGGGCTTTACTATCAGGATCAAACACAGTGACGGTAATGAAGTTGCTGTGTCATACTGAGGGAGAGAAAAAGGTGATTTTACCGGAGTAGGACATAATAGACACACTCCCTCTAGAATATGCCATAAGCTAATAATTAAGAAAAGGCAACTCACTGGGGAAAAAAAGCATTGGGTCACATGACTCTGAACACTGGTGAATGTTGTATAATATGCTTTGTACCTTTTTTTTTTTTACTGTCATTCATCCACATACTCATTTGACATGACACTTATGGAGTCTGAACACATGCTAGCTGTAGTTGCAACTGCTGGGATGTGATATTAGCTTTCTATTAGCTTCTATAACTTTTTATGCGCATTCCCCAACAACAAAACCTGCTTGAATGACCTAATTTATGATTATGTCTCCCTTATCTTCTCGTGTGGGCACAAAACCGCTCAGTGCATGCTACTGTAAGTGAACATTACCTTTTCTCTTTATAAGTTCATAAGATTCGAATCCCCTCCACACGTACTCAATTATCCTCAATCTTATTCTCTTTGTCCATCTGTTCTTTGCGCTCCCATTTTTACCTCCTCCCATCCACCTTCACTGCAGTGGCCTGTATTCGTTACACTGGTTTCAGGCTTTCAAAGCGAGACATGGACTGCATTGGCGTAAGAGTCGGTAGGGAGTAACATAAGCTGCTCGGCTTCGATTCTAAATACCTGCTTATGGCCCAGACATTTGTGCAATGTTGACCGAATGCACAAGGATGGGATGATTCTTGTTCTAATTATGTGTTGCAAACAGGCTAGAGACATTTTTATCTCATGGAGATGAAATGTAACCGTGAACCACCATCCCATGGGTCATTTGTTTTCATCATGCCCTGGTCTATTTTATCTAACCCAGCATCAGCTCTGCCATTCATGTGTTACGATGTATCCGCAACTCCACACACTCTGCAGAAAGCATCATTGTCATATGCATGTCCATAGAGTATATACATATGTATATTGATATTCAGTCCTTGTCCATTGAATGTAACAGTTGGCTTTCTATGGTTTTTCATTTAAAATGACAGAAATTACAAAAAAACCAAATAAAATTATTTATATATATATATATATATTGAAACTATAATTACAGTTTTTAATATTTAATTAAATAATGTTTAACTAATTTAAGACTGAGTGTGGCTGCAGTTTTGTCCAAACATCTTCTAGGTCATGAAAGCCAGCAAATCAGATTGCAGCAGATTCTACCTGGGCCTGGTCACATGTCAGATATGAAATCAGACCTTCCATTATTATTATATTTTTATGCACTTGAGCATATTTGCATCTTTTGGGGCCACTTGCTGGCATCAGTCACATTCACTTTAGCATCTATGCAGCCCCAGATTTCCCTCACCAAGAGACTGCTTAACCGTACAGTTATGTTCAGTGTGCAGGAGGCAGATGGTCTGGAGATTATGCTGAATATTCATATTGATCCGTGTTTTCCCAAACCTTTCAGCAAGTGTGCTCTTAGTGCCATTCGGTAAGACACTGTTGATAGTGTACTGAGCTTTCCCAGGCCTGCCTTGCCCAGACCAGCCCTGACTACCACGACCCAACCCAATCTGCTAAAGTTAAAAGGGAGAGACAGAGGGGCCAGCATTACATAAATTGTTCAGCGCCTTATGCAATGTGTCTAAGTAACCAACAGAGAAGTACTCACGCTCACACCCACTCGCGGGCACAGACACACACACAAACACAACCCCCTAAAACTAGAAGAAACTTTAACCCATATTCAACCATTAAATAAAAACTACACCAGTCTATGACACCAGGAGCCAGTGATCTGGCACTGTGAAACAATGCAGGAGATTACTTTGTTAACTGGCATAATGTTTAACTAATTTAAGACTGAGTGTGGCTGCAGTTTTGTCCAAACATCTTCTAGGTCAACTTTCCTTATTGCTGCAACAACAGCATTCAAACTGGGGCAACCTGGACAGAGAACTGGAGCACCAACAACTCTTTCCTCTTTCTGTAATGTTTCCACACACATTTGTATAAGACAAATGTTATGCTAAAAGATATAAAGTTACTCACAATGAGGGAATCAAAAACAGAGTCAAGCAACAGCCTTAATGGGCAACACCAAAGCATGAACTGACATTGAAAATGTCCAATGAGAAAATCTATAGCTATACATATCTATATATATATATAAGATAAACATTGTAAATCAGAGACAGAGGACTATTGTAAAACATTTTTGCTTAAATGTTTAGCTCATTGATTTGTCTTAAAATTTGACATAATATTCCCACATTTGTCTGTTTGAAATTAGTTCACAAATCTAATACTTATCCCTAAAATAATGTAAATTAATGTCAAGTACAAAAAAATGCTATTAAAACTACATACCACACTTCTAGGGTGAGTTGTGAAACTAAAATATAGGCCTATTTAAAATCCCAGTCTTTATAAGTCCAGGAAATTGTTTGAGGGTTGGCATCATCTGAGGTCCTCTGAGGGGTTGGCATCATAAAAATAAATAAATAAATAAATAAAATAAAAAGCAAGCAAGGGTCGATGAGTCAGTATGCTGCTCACTTTACTCTTATTACAGAGACAGGCCACTGACAGAGTCTGAACACACACACTGAGCGAAGTAGTTTAGCCGCACTTCCGTCCACTCGCATTCAGACGTCAGCTGAAATGACTTGTTTAACAAGGCATGACAGTTTCCATGGGAAAAAAAGACACATATTCCCTCAACACCTACCAAATAAAAACAAATATGAACACCAGTTCTATGAGACTATTGTGACCAAGGCAGATTAAAATAGGCCTAAAGGAAAGAAGCTTTTAGAGTAAAAACAAACCGAATCTGAACAGACATGAGATGCCTTAAAGGAAAAATTCACCCAAAAAATGAAATTTCTGTCATTGTTTACTCACGCTCATTTTGTTCCAAACCCGTATGACTCACAAAAGGAGATATTTAGCATATTGCGCAAGTTGCTCTTTGCAGTTTTGGTGTACATTGGAATATATATATATATGTGTGTGTGTGTGTGTGTGTATTCATGCCTGACTGATATATAAAGTATATAATTTTTATTACACATTAAGTATAAGTTTTCCATGTACAAAAGCTTGTATAATGTTACATATAAAATTAAACATAAGAATTTGCAATTTAACATTCATTAGCATGATCCCCAATCAAATAAGCCAGACATAAAATTATCCAAAAAATATTTTTGTCCTGTAAATACTTCATATTACGCTCAGTCTATTGTCACCTCAGGAGGATGGTGTCAGGAGATTGATTTTACCCCTGTAGGTCATTTGTAATTGGTTAAACTGATGATGTTACAATTTGCTGGCTGGCACAATATACAACACTGCCTGGCCCCCTCCTAAATTGAGCAGACAAACACACAAACACAAAGAAACCTGGTATATCAATTAGCCTGAGAATCAAATGCTGCTCTACAGCCATCAATTTGTTTAAAAAAGAACACAAAAACTTATTGATCAGCCAGTAGTGACTAGTGTTTTTCAAGTCACTGGTAAATGTTTGAAACGTCACTTTAGTCTCCACACAGCACAGTGTAACAGTCTCAATCTCTCTGAAATTATGTAAACCCCCAAAACTGGGATCCTGCTTTGACGGTCATACGTAAATGGCCAATCAGAGTCGAGTATAGATTTACGGACTCATACACGGTCACCGGGCTGTCTGAGCCATGCGAGACTACAACTACCCCTCCTCTACTCTCCTCGTCCCACACCCAGCATACTCGCACACCTTGCAGCAGGAAGGAGAAGGGGGAAAAAGTCCGCACGGTTGACAAGGAAAATGAAAGCAGAGCACCTTGAGCAACTCAGACGGTGAAGTTCCCACACCGCGCTCCATCGGTCAGGTGTTTCCCATCGCGCTGTTTTCCACGATAAAATGACCTTTACTGGTCACCTTCAGAGGGCGACCGGTCCTCACGCAAAAACAAGCGTGACAGCTCGAATAGTTACAAACAAAACGCGATTCTTTTGAGTCCCGTGAGCGGCTCGCGATGTTAATTGAATTAATAGCGCGAAGATGCTGCTCGTGAGAGGAATAGCAAATTGTGGTAGTTCTGTATGTTGTTTGAGGGTTGGCATCATCTGAGGTCCTCTGAGGGGTTGGCATCATAAAAATAAATAAATAAATAAATAAAATAAAAAGCAAGCAAGGGTCGATGAGTCAGTATGCTGCTCACTTTACTCTTATTACAGAGACAGGCCACTGACAGAGTCTGAACACACACACTGAGCGGAGTAGTTTAGCCGCACTTCCGTCCACTCGCATTCAGACGTCAGCTGAAATGACTTGTTTAACAAGGCATGACAGTTTCCATGGGAAAAAAAGACACATATTCCCTCAACACCTACCAAATAAAAACAAATATGAACACCAGTTCTATGAGACTATTGTGACCAAGGCAGATTAAAATAGGCCTAAAGGAAAGAAGCTTTTAGAGTAAAAACAAACCGAATCTGAACAGACATGAGATGCCTTAAAGGAAAAATTCACCCAAAAAATGAAATTTCTGTCATTGTTTACTCACGCTCATGTTGTTCCAAACCCGTATGACTCACAAAAGGAGATATTTAGCATATTGCGCAAGTTGCTCTTTGCAGTTTTGGTCCCCATCCAGATTCAATGTATGGGAAAGAGTGGCTTGCACAATCTGCTAAATATCTCTATTTGTGTTCCATGCAAGAATATTTTACAGGTTTGGAACAACATGATGGTGATTAACTGATGGCAGAATTTTCTTTCTTTTCTTGTTTTTTTTGGTGCGCTGTGACCCTTTGTTCTTCTGTGGAACACAAAAGGAGATATTTAGCATATTGTGCAAGCTGCTCTTTTCCATACAAATGAATGAGGACCAAAACTGTCTCTGGTCCCAATCAAGTGTGCCGCACACATCCTGAAAAGTTTCACTGTATGGAACAGAGCAGCTTGGGCAATCTGCTTAATATATCTCTTTTTACTCTACGCAAGAAGAAGTCTTAAGGGTGTGGAATGACATGAGGGTGAGTAAATTATTTTAGAATTACATTTTTTTTGTTAATTGAATTAATAGCGCGAAGATGCTGCTCGTGAGAGGATGGTGCGCCACTCGCATCCGGAACAAGCGCAATGCCCCTCCGCAAGGTGACCAGCGTGGGTACCAATGCGAGGTACACACGCTCATAGAGATGTTAGACAAAAACAACACAACTATAAGCTAAATGTACGTGGATTTGTTGTTGTTGTTGTTTTTAACACAGTGAGAATACATTATATATTTTCTATGCAGGAAAATGTCAGAACATTCTGGGAAGTCATTCAGTCCAACACAATCAAAAGGACAAGCGATGGTAAAGAGTCAACAAAACACCTCATAGACGAGAATACGTGTAATTGTGAATAATTAGCTAACTATTAGATTATTAAGGCTTCAATGCAGTAGTTTTACGTGCTTGGCAGCTATCAAAATACATGACAAAGAGATCTGCATTAGAAAAACGTATGCAGGGACAATTTAACAGTATGACAGAGAGCGGACGTTAATGATAACGAACTGCCAACTGTTACCATGGCAAACAAATCCTGATTGGTGTAAATATCAGATACTCACCAGGCCATGCTCCAAGGACATTGCCGTGGTTTGTTGGGAAAAGGGAATATCCTGGAGAAACACAAGAGCGGCTGGGTTCACTCAGTAGCTGTTATAATGTCGTCCTTTATCACCCAGGTGTTCAGCAGCGTGTTTACTACGGATGGAGATGATGGATCCTAAAATAGTGCAGTTGTTGCCTGGTTAGATGGAGGTTCCGCAGAGGAAAAAAATTAGAGATGGAGACATCGTTTTTAGATCACTGTCCCGACCAATGTATCAAAAAAGGCAAAGGTATTTGTTTGTTTTTTACGCTTCTTCTTGAACGTGTAAATCAAAGAGGTGCTAAAGCGTGGTGATGCGGTATTTGGATTTTATATGCGATGTGTGATGAGAGCCCCCTCGCTGAGCTGTGCGCTGAGAACCGTGGACGCAGCATCCG